GTTACGGTTTTTTCCGTCTTTTACGACGCGCATTATCGCGCCAGGACGGAAATTCCCAATAAAATGTGGATATAATTAGACTGCGACCCGCGTGTGTTTGTATACAGTATGAATTTATTTATATACTGTATGTATTTATGGTAAGTACGACCAAGTGAAACGTCGTGAAATCGAACTTTTCAGTTTGGCATAATGGAGAGCCTAATTGTTTCGACGCCCACGGAACAGATTGTTGAGAAACAAGATTTCTATTTAATGCTTCTTTCTCATTAGTATAACTTTATGGGGGTGTTAGGAATCAGATTATACTAATGGCTTGAAATATCAAATTGCCCTTAGAAATGCTATAAATTTAATGTATTATCTACAGAACATAGAAGCCTAATATATTTTCAACCTTTAACTCTATACCAATACTCTAATTCTACACTCTTTCTCCAAAGAAAAATTCGCATCACAAAAAAGTGACAGCAAAAGGAAAAGTTTTAATGGAATTAGGCATCAAGTTTTTTTCGCATGACACTCTTACAGAAAGTTTCATTGAAATCGACGTCTACCAAACGATGTTCCCTCGTGCCAGTAGAAAGTCCCCATCCCCTACGGTCCACGAGTGGCGTATTAACGTATAAATCGGCCGTGCGTCGAGAGTGTATACGAGAATTTCAAAACGCGGGTTACCGATCGACCTATCACGCACGCGAGCCATCGAAATAAGTGGGTCATTAGTTAACCCACTATGCCCCAAACGGGCGAACGGAACGAACGTTCCACCGTGGAATTCTCGTCCAGCGTATGAAGTTGTAGAACGCGTGAAATCTCTTCATCGAGGGATGGGCAGGGGAGGGAGGGCGTCGGGACGAAAGTGGCGAAGGCAATTTGGCCCGGGCCTGGCCGGCGTTCGTCGCCGTTAATTGCCAAAAACCGCTATCCAATCTCTTGTCTCAATTGGCTTCTCGGTTTCACGAGAAAACGGTAGTCAGTCGGTGAAATTCCAGCCGACGACTGCCTGTCACCGGTGGCCGGCGTGGGACGTGGGAATTTGTGGATCGCGATAGGCCGGGCGGGGAGGGGGACGTCCAGAATGCCTCGTAAATAGCTTCGATACCGATGCCTCGCGGTATCGATACCTCAACCCCGATCAAGTGCCACTCCTGGTCGCCGCGGTGGACACGGCCAGTTAGTTCGACTGAATTAAACGGGCCGCTCCGCTCGGGACGTGTGTCGTTCCTTATCAGCTGGAAATTATTGCGGGTAATATACTTCGGTTCCTGCCCTCCATCGACGCACGTTGAAATTCGCACCAAACCGTTTCGCGGGTCGCAGGTTAATTGCAGATATGTTCGGCTACGTTGCGACGGAATGGCGCCCGGAAATACCGAAGTTGTTTGTTCGATTCGAATGTCAGTTGTTTCCATTGTTTCCTTTTACCGTTCTTTTCCCTGTGGTTTTCGAGTATGGAGGTTAACTTTTGAGACCTTGTGAGTTTCTGGAAGATGAAGTTTTATTGTCGAGTTCTTTATAACTTTATTTATGCCTGGTGATATTGAGGGGGGATATATGTAGTTAAGATGAGTGTCAAGTGCAAACATTGATTGAAATGAGATTGCGATGGACGTGAATAGGGTGATTAATTAAAAACTCCTAACATAAAGGTATGTTACTTGCGAATTATAAAACTGTTAAATGATAAACAAATATTCGCAGTTACGAGTGATAGTTTAATTAACTTTGGAACAAACAATGCGGCTGACAAGAACGTTCAGTTTTAGGTCAAATTTACTCCAGTTATGCGAGATATCCCTCGTGTAGCGCACACCTGTCAACGCACGTGCAATTTTCTCGGGTCTGACGTAATGTTTACAGAGTTTTTCTATGTGCAGCGTTCCATCACTTGTTCGAATGCTTTTGTTACCCGCTGCGCGTTTATATAACTATACCGCCGTGGCACGAGCAATAAAGTGCGTCGATAACATTCGATCACGAAATTTAGGAACGCCCCGCGAGAGCTTGCGTCGATTTGAAACTGACACGCTAATCGTATTCGCGCTAATAAATCAACGTCGATCGGGAAACTGGTCTATAAAACCGGCGAGCCGGCGGCACTCGGACGTGTGTTTTGACTATTGCGTAAAAATTAATTAAATACCGATCTCGTGCGCCGCCGTCAGAGATAGTTAACAGGCGACGCGAGCCGGCTGACAGATATACAGCATTGGACGCGTGGCTAATCACGGATTTGCGAAATTGATTCGAGCACGGGCCCCGTTTCAACCGGCTCGCGTTCGCGGAGGTTTGTAATTATACGGACGGATTTTCCGTTTTTCAATGTCTCAATTGTCAGGACGGTGTATCGGGTTACATGGTTCGCGTGACACGCCCGGACATTTTATGTTTACAAATTACTACTTTCTAACCGTGTTATTATTATTATTAGCGCCAGAACGCCGGCCGGGGCCAATTAAAAATGCCGATCAATTAATTTCACGGTACGGTGACGAAGTATAGTAATACGTTTATCATGTAGGTGGAAATGCCTGATACGAGTAATTTTATAATTTCATTTGCTTCCTGCGTTCACCTTTAACGACTGACACCGCTAACGGGACAACTTCTTTGACTGGTTATATCTTTATTGGTAGTGCTGTCGTTTTCGTGAATGTTTTCCGTTGAAAAATTAGTAAGTGACTAATATGCTAATCAATTTTTTGAAGAATTTTTAAGGTAAGATCTGTTATTAATTTATATTGCTTTGCGGTGGAGAGCCGCACTGTGGAAAGAAAATGGAATTGAATTAAGGAGATTCAATATTGAGTAAAAGAATTATTTTAAAGATTCTTCATTCTTTGGACGTAAATAATTCTCTTTGTGTCCTGGTACACAAATTTTCTTTTTTCGTAACTCAAATTTTTCTGATAATGTTATATATTTTTTTGTAATGAAGATCATTTTCTTAAGAAAAGCTTTCATTTAAGAAAACTAAAAATGTCCCCAACAGTTAAACAACCTCGATATATCATACTACTAATAGCCACCGAATAATTCTAGTATTCTATTAAACTGACCGTTAATTTCTGATGGCGATGCCTTAAAATCACTTCGTTCAATCAGCATCATCGTTCACCTGTGAAATCACCTGAGGTATTAAACAGCAACAGGTTACCGCGATCAGACATCCGGCGATTTTCTAATATTATGTCTGCGCCTCGCGAGACCGGGCTCGTGTTCTCATGCATGACTTTATTGTTGGCGAGCTCACTGAATGAAACGGCAATCGTATCATGTCCTATAAGTATCCCACTTGACTCGGCACAATCGATACACGATCTCGCGGTAGATCGGCCAGATCGTGATCCGACCGCTATGATAGAAACCTGTTGGCCCGTTGAACTTTGAAATGGTCGCAGAACTTGAGAAAATGTTGTTCCATTCACGAAGGAGCGTTCTCAGGCGAACGGTTCCACCGATGAAAATCGATAAAACCATAAAGACAGACATTTCACGAATGACAATGGTGATTTGGTTAAACCTCACGCTCCGTTCAGGTCGATTTAACTTGAAAGCGAACCTTTACTTTTCATCATATTCCTTGGTTTAGAAATACGCGAATTAACCCTTGAGAACCGTCGTCATAGGAAAACCCGTTAGCGTTATCATAGTTCTATGACAAGGTTATCGTTACTGATACGGTGAATAAACACCAAAAGAATTAATGTCATCAACCGTTACGTTTTTTAATAATATTGAAATAAAATTAGAATAATGTAAAACTTCGTCTATCAAGGCTGAATTGAAAGTCTTCAGACTACTGATTCGAAAGAAAGATTAAATTACGTAGAATTCAATTTGAATATTTCAATTTAAGGTAGATAGTAAGGAAATAGGGAAGCGATATAGAACTGTGGTCGGTGATTAATTTAACACGGTGGTACGATCAAGAGTTTAGAAGGGAAATTGGGTCCAAACTGCCGCGGTAATTTCAGATCGGGCTTCTCGCGTTTCGTCGGGAGAACTAATCTGCGAAATATAATTAGCCGCAGTGACTAACGCGAACGTTTCTGCTAAATTTAGCCAAATGCAATCATAACAGCGCAGGTGGCCATTTTACCCTTTTCAAGTGTTTGACAAGCAGGGATTATACGAGCGGCAGAGCGCGGATAGTGAGTCACACTAGGGCTAATTATAATCCTTTTGCCCGTAGGTATGCCCCTCCAGGTTTCCTTTTGTTCCGCTCCTTCGTCGTCTCAAACGTTAATTTGTATCTCTGCGATAATAATATTAATTACAGGTCTTTTTGAAGAACAAATACCGGTTGAAGAGGCTAGCCGGAGCCTTTTACGATTTGCTGAACACATAAATTATGGCATGATTAAGAACCCTTGTACACCTCTGAATCCCTCCCGAGAGTGATAAAACTGAACGTGATCAGTTTAATAGGATTTTAATTAATTAGATTAGAGAAATTGATAATTCCTTACATCAGTCGGTTGGAGAAATTATTTTCAACCCTTATATTATTCGGATGCCAATGTTTCCATCTTTAACTACACATTTTGTTATATTCTTTTAAAAATTTGATAAAACTGCATCGGAACACTGGTTTTTAACATTTATACGTCAAAATTTGTATTTTGGAAATAAGAAATTCGTATAAAAAGATTGTAACACTGGAGTTTAAACAAATGCAAATATTTCGTTTGCTAACGTAAGGACTACGTGAAGTTTGACCGGATTACCGATTAAATGTTGTGTCTGTATTATTCTTATCGCGAAATCGGAATCAATGGAGTTATTGAGTCTACGCAGTCATAGAACAGAAGCAGATATATTTGCGGCACAAAATGTAGATAGAGTAGAATGATGTAATTGCGATAACGAGTCCAGTGTCAGAGTTCGTAGAATTGGCCAACCGTTATCAGCGTCTCGTGGTTACTTACTTATTTAGTTACTTTCTTCGTTCCGTGCTGACTCACACTGAGCGGCGTGCGTTACTTCTGTTACAGGTGCACAAGAAAATGCGCGTAAGGTCAAGGTGACGGCAGAGCATGGAGACCATGCGAGACACTGGTGGGCTGCAGGTCGATGGCTCGAAGGGAAGTGTCGCGTCGAGCTTAAACACCTCGAAAACAGTGAATCAGTTGAAAATAGTGGAAAGTGGTGATGAAAGTGGCAAAGTTTTGAGTGAAAGTAAACGAGAAATGGATCCTTATAAGGAGCTAGAGCTGTATCTCGCCAAAGTCAACGTGAGTTTTTCATAAGTTCATTTTTACTTTATGAGCACAATTCTAGCGGACCGTTCTTTTTTCAAGCATTTCAAATTTTTATCTTCGAAACAAAAAATAAATTAGATAGAAATCTAAATAATAAAAACTTAAAGTTATATCCATATCGCAAGGACAAAATCGTCGCATAATTTAGAACGTACCGTTCTTATAATGAAGTCTTTTATGAAGAATGTACTACAGATTTCGATGAAAATTGTTTTTATGATAAAATGGCGCATATTAATGTGATTCGTGGAATGGAAGTAATTCTCTAAATGCCACAATATTGTTCTTCCGCGGATCGATCGTCAACTTGATCGATCCTTTCGCTGGAAGCAGTTCGTGCGATCCAAGCGGGTCCGAGCACGCACAACAAATTGAACATGACGCCACGATCGCCATGCGAGATTCCAAAACACGTTTCATCCATGACCGCCGTACGTTGCTTCGTTCCTCGTCTTCTTATTTCCACGTTTTCTTTTTTTTTAATTCTTCTTTTGCCTACCGCTGTACATCTGTTTTAGAGACCTCGACCACAAGACTAAATGACTCGAACGATACCCGAAACCGTGGGCCAGTTTCCACGTTTCTCTTTCAGCTTTCAACACCGCATTTCCATCGAATTTGATAACCGTTTCTCGGAATTAATTGATTCTTCGTGAAACGGAATTTTTTCGTCTCACTGCCCGTCAACAGCTTAGAATAACAGTAGTAGATTTTTAGTAATAGACAATAATTCTCGGAGAAGTGAAAATTCATCGCTGTATTCTGATTAATAAATTCATTACGCATCTACCTCCCATGTTTAAGCATTTATGATATGCAGTCATAAATTTCTAAAATGGAAGCAATCGTGTATATTAATAAATGTTAACAGTATTTATATTTGATATTCATTACAAGAAATTTCCAATCAACGGCGTGTCACGTGTAACAGGAAATTGTAACTTTCTTGCTTCGCTAATGGAGCAATATATATCCAATATTTTAAATTATCCTTCGACTTTTTGGTAACACAGATTTTTGATACAAACATTTTTATCCCGTTAATGATATTGCATACCAAGGAAAAATTCCTTAGACGTTAATAACATAGCGAACCGACGAAAAATTCCTTAAATATGATGTAAAACGGAAGTTCCCGTTATGTAAGTAATTTTTATCGGAAAGAATGTTTCCCGCGAGAATTAAACTGTGTTACAAAATTCCGAACAGTATATGTATACAAACATAGGGGAAAAAATTAATTACTTAATTTGTATTTATCGTCACACGTAAATCCACCATTACCGTGGTTGTACCATCAATTCCAGCTATAAAGGCGGCCGATAAATTCCATCGAAAAATCGATCTCGTTTCCAGTTTCGATCGTCGAGCGTGTCTCATAATTGCAAAAATATTATGGGCGACACGTTATCGGAGCGGAACCCATTGGTTCCCCCGTGTTCCCTCTTACTCTCGTCACGGCGCGCCGGTGCCTAAATTAGTACACCTGTACCGGATTCTCGAATCGTGGAATTAAATGGTTACTCCCGGCTCGGTCAGAGCGTAAAAAGAAATAATG